AAAAAGAAGATGGAGGGAGACCTCAATGAGATGGAGATCCAGCTGAGCCAGGCCAACAGGCAGGCTGCTGAAGCCCAAAAACAGCTGAAGTCTGTTCATTCACACCTTAAGGTTTGGATGAAGAAGACTGAATGTCCATGCTGTAGCTTTTAGAACTAACCAGAACTAAGAATCCATTATTCTGGTTTGTCTATCAGGATGCTCAGCTCCAGCTTGATGATTCTCTGCGAGCCAACGATGATCTTAAAGAGAACGTCGCCATCGTGGAGAGACGCAACAACCTTCTTCAGGCTGAAGTGGAGGAGCTGAGAGGGGCTCTGGAGCAAACTGAACGCAGTCGCAAACTTGCTGAGCAAGAGCTGCTGGATGTTAGTGAGAGGGTGCAGCTCCTGCACTCACAGGTGAGATCATTACTGCCCTATACAGTGTGTTTCAGCTTGTTTGAGCTTTGGTCAAAGTAAAAAACGTGCACGATGTGTTCAAAACAGAACACTAGTCTGCTAAACCAAAAGAAGAAGCTGGAGGGCGATACATCCCAGCTTCAAAGTGAAGTGGAGGAAGCAGTGCAGGAATGCAGAAATGCTGAAGAGAAGGCCAAGAAGGCCATTACTGATGCTGCCATGATGGCAGAGGAGCTGAAGAAAGAGCAGGACACCAGCGCTCACCTGGAGCGCATGAAGAAGAACATGGAGCAGACCATCAAAGACCTGCAGCACCGTCTGGATGAAGCTGAGCAGATCGCCATGAAGGGAGGCAAGAAGCAGGTGCAGAAGCTGGAGGCCAGGGTAAGAATTGCTTTGCTTTCACATAAAGAGTGTCGATAATAAAAGGACGCTTTTAAAAAATCCCTGCAAAATGTCCCATATCAGGTGAAAGAGCTGGAAAATGAGGTAGAAATGGAGCAGAAGAAGAGCAGTGAAGCAGTGAAGGGTGTCCGTAAATATGAGAGACGCATCAAGGAGCTCATCTATCAGGCATGTAGCTAACACTAGTCCACTGCAAGGCTAATTAACCCCATAATGCTAAATGTACTGTTTCAACAAACAATAATGTTTTAACAATAATGGTGTCAGACGCAAATAAAAGTCTTTTCATATTTTGATAAAGGGCCAAATCAAGACTTCAAACAAGAAAACAATCCTCTCTATTTTTTCTTGGATCAGGCTTTAAAGGGTTAACATACACAAAGATTTATAACAGTATCTTTACATCCCACAGACTGATGAGGATCGCAAAAACATTGCTCGACTGCAAGACTTGGTGGATAAATTACAGCTTAAAGTAAAAGCTTACAAAAGATCTTCTGAGGAGGCTGTAAGTCTGTCACTGTGAGAAGCGTTTGATGATTCTTCCTCTGTCAGACACCACTAATGTTAGCCCTGTTTGCCTCCACCAGGAGGAACAGGCTAACGTCCATCTGGGTAAATTTCGGAAGCTTCAACATGAGCTGGACGAGGCTGAGGAGAGAGCTGACATCGCCGAGTCTCAGGTCAACAAGCTCCGGGCCAAGAGCCGTGATGCTGGCTCAAAGGTGAGGAGCATGCGCTCCGTCTGAGCCGACACATGCTGCCCCCTGGTGCTGCACACATCAGACAAAAGCACTCAACCAGTGAATACATTCATGGCTTTGCTGAGCTAAATCAGTACTAATCTGAGGACTAAACAGCTGTTTCTCTTCTTCTGTCCCCCCATCGCCCCTGGCTGCAACAGAAAGGGTTTGATGAGGAGTGAAACTGTGGAGCTTCCAGAAAGCCTTTTGACTGCTGTGTACTGTAGATCTCCTCAACTATCACAATGCATAACTTGTAGTGCTAATAAAATCACAATATGATGCTGCACAACATGGTTTTCTTTGTTCTTTTCACAGGGAGAGTTTGTTTGAAAATCTCCAGGAAATATTCTTCAAATAGTGAAAAATAAAAACAGAAGTATAATAAAAATGATAAATGATGATGATTCACAGAAAATAATTTGATTAAGTTTTTCCAAAATGATTTCTAAATGTTTCAATGGAAGCCTCACCACATGTTGAATAAAAAATATAGCTATACAACCCAAATGATGGGCTATGGTACATTTAAGTGGTGTGATGAGAATGTGGTTTAAGATGTGGCTTTTTTGGCTGAAGAACAAGGATTTATGGAGACAAATGACATGGGAAAACAATTATTTTAAAACTATAAAATATCTGGTTTCTCCCTGTTAAAAGGAAGTTTTTCCTTGCCTGTGTCGCCTAGTGCTGCTCATGGTGGGAATTGTTGGGTTTCTGTAATTAACTTCAGAGTAGGGTCTGAACTGCTATGTTTGGAAAGTTGTGAGACAACTGTTGTTGGGATGTGGCGCTATATAAATAAAATTGAATTGAATTGAATTAAAATAACATTAAGAGTGGAAAGACATAAGACAAATCTCCTAAAACGGAGTTGAAGAAAGGCCTGGGAGACAAAGCCTCCAATAAGCCCGTGCTCACACACAGGCCCACTATAGTTACTCACATAATCACTCGCAGCTGGTCACTGAATCCCTGTCGAAGAATTCTTCCTCTTTCAAAGGGCTGGGAAGGATTTCACAGAATTAATGCCAAAATATCTAGTTCATTTACAAAAATAAACCAACAAAGAAACAATACTCTGACATGCATTTCCATAAACAGAAGATTGAACTTATAATTAGACACAAGTCTTCAATCTATTCTTTTTAAATGCTGAAATACGAAGTGGATTCTTAGGTTATTCTGCTCTACTGATACAGGTTAAACAGTTTTGAGAAGAATCTTTATAAATAGCTGTCACTTTGTGTAGAGACATGAAGAAAAATGATTTGCCTGAATCTTTCATTAAAGCCGTTTTTTTACCCGTCCATCTAGAGCTTTTCCTCGGTGCTGGTCTCGGGTCCAAGTCACTGTTGCTTCTGTTGGAGACTTAATAATGATTTGAGGTGATGAAGGAGGAGAAAGAGGCCCCTGGCCCCCTCTGTGTGAACTTATGTTTTCCCTTAGAACATGTCAAGCCTCTGGCAGACCAGCAGGTACTGTGAGCTAATGAGAGCATATTCACACCTTTGCCTGAGGTGGTGGCCACATACTGTACAGTGTGTTCTGAGGCTTATCAGCAACTTTAACAGGACATCTGAGCAAAGACAGAACATCTAACCAATAACACATTTAGGATACTAAAAGAATACTTGCCTCATGGTAAAATAATGAAATCTCCGATACAACTACACAATGATTGTCCAAGTTATTAAATAATTTCTCCATCTTTTTCTGACTTTAGAAAGACTACAATGAACGTGGCTATCTCCAGCAGAAGGTCATGTACTAATCATTTAGGCAAAGTACAAGAAATTCACAATAACTGAGTGAATAACCAGGTAAATGAGAACAAAGTCAGCAAAAGTCCAATGGAGGCTGCATACCGTAGCTTACATAGAGGATTACAAGAGTCTTGGTGATTGAAATATGTGTTTATTGTAAGCGTGTCCAGAGGGACTGGAGCCAGGAGACATGGAGCTAATGGCTGTACCTCCCCACTCTTCCACTGCTTGTAATCGACCAAACATACGTGGTGACAGTTTGCATTTGTGGCGACATAAAGAAAGTATTCAAATCATGCTTTCTTTAATGAGTGGCTGTCTAACCTGTGGGGTCAAAGTTATCTTCACTTGCTCTTTAGCGGGCTTGTGGAATCTCTCGCTCCCATTTGACACCAGCTGTCAGTAACAGGACCGGGGAAGTTATCAGAATGGAAATAATCTTGGCACTTGTCATCAGCTGTTGACCCTCTTTTTTATCTCGTAACCTCTGAAGAGAATGCAATGGCTGGTCTTAGTAGCTGCCTACAGTATAGTTGCTATACATAACAACAATGTACGGTCCATGTTATTAGCTTTTCTCTGTATTATGCATTAAAACTCACTTTTCTAAAGGTAGTACCATGTGGAGCATAAGCCAGTAAGCTAGGTAAGGGCTGATGGGTGTATCACCAGCTAATTTTTATCACACCCTCACCTTTAGACCACGGATGTCAACTCTGCACACTAAGAATCCACATGGAAACTAAACCGAAATCTGCTGTTTGATTGGCTGCGGAGGTACATGTCTCTTACAGGTTATTCATAGTTTGTGAGCTCAAACCCAATGCGAGGCCACGGTGTGATCCAGTTGATCCTTAAAGCAGCCAGACAGAAAGTATCTGTGGCTGTTCTCCTCTCTAAGTGTTGAGTATTCAGCAGAAAATCCCACACAGTTGTGTTTGTCTACAAAGGCCCAATCCCATGTCGACAGCCCGGTAACTGATGAGCCGCCAGATAATGGAGGAAGGCCTCCATTCTGAGCTTGGCATTACATTGAAACTGGTTGTACAGCTCCAGCCCTCCAGTATGTGTCATCTTTATGGCCTTTTCAGTAAATCTGAGGCATGTCACCTGTGGCATACCCCTGAATTTGTTGCTTTACGCTTGTCTCCAATCTAATCACAAAAGGCTAATGGTCTTTATTTAGACCAACTAACCCTGTTGTTACCACATGGCCCACTCTAATAACCAGACATGATGTGTTACTGATGCTCCATTGAGACTCCTCTAAAGCCCTGAGGGTTACTGAGACCATACAAAACATAGTTCTCTAAAATAACTCCACAGATACTTTATGCATCGTCAAAGACAACAATGCCAGCAGTTGAAATTGATCAAATTCTTTGTGCTATTAGCAAACATGTAAACATTGAAAGATATATCTATAGCAACCTAGCTTTAATGTACCGGAAAAAAACATCTAATTTCATGATGCATTTTCAATTATTTCTACAAATATACAACAGCTGCTTTGTTGTTAATTTCATAATTGCATTTTCGTCTCTTTTTCTTTTGATTCACGTTTGATATGAAGTGAGCAATTTAGAGACATTTGTTTAATTGCAACCCTAATGGATGCATAAATATGTTTTTATGTGCTGGTCTAAAGGGACAATGCTTCTTTTCAGCAGATTAAAGTTAAGTTAAGGGGTGACGAGGGAGGAATTCCTCCCCGTGTCTATTTAAAGTTGGGGTTGAGGTATCCTAGCTGCTTGAGGACACCTATGATTAATCACTGCCCTGCATGGAGCTCCTAATATGGCCTTGTCAGGAGAGTGCATCACTGATAAGACTCAGACCTGCTGATTTCTATATTGCTCTCTGCCAGTCATTAACCCCCACCCTCTATGGGCCACCAGCACAACACAGACACAATAGCATTCCTGGCATCAAAGCCCTCCACCATATTTGGTAGAGGGGCTTTCTTTATAAGGAGAACTCACAGAGAAGCCCCCAACAGGTCATCATTCAATCTAAAGGTAGGTTATGAACACAAAGGGTTTCAAACTCCAGACAAAGATGTGAATGTGTTTACAGTTTCATGCTTTCTTTCCTCAGGGCCTTTGCACCTTACTCTTCAAGGAAGGAACTGTCAAGGTAAGAACACCAACAAAAAAAACAGTAAATGGGTTTTGAAAAAATTATTTTTTTTAGGGAAATTAAAGACAGCTTTGTGATGAATAATCTGAAGGATAATTATTTGGTACATGCTTGATACAAAATATGGTTGAAATGTGATTTTACCTCCGTAGACGAGGTGAAAAATGGGGGATGCTGCCATGAAAGAATTTGGGCCAGCAGCCCCGTACCTGCGAAAGTCAGACCGGGAGCGTCTGGAGGCCCAGACCCGCATTTTTGACATGAAGAAGGAATGTTTTGTTCCCGATCCTGATGAGGAATATGTGAAGGCTTCCATCGTCAGCCGGGAGGGCGATAAAGTCACTGCTGAGACAGCGAAAGGGAAGGTCAGTGAGCTGGAGTTGAGATCCTTTTGTGTAATTTTTTATGGACCAAAAATGGTCCATTGATAGCAACTATTTCTGCTCTCAGACTGTCACTGTGAAGGAGGTGGATGTCCACCCCCAGAACCCGCCAAAGTTTGATAAAATTGAAGACATGGCGATGTTCACCTTCCTCCATGAGCCAGCTGTGCTGTTCAACCTCAAAGAGCGTTACGCAGCATGGATGATCTATGTGAGCAGATTTTAGATTTTATTCTAACGCTAAATGACAAAGGCTCCACATTTAGTAAGAGTCAGCCTTCTATGTCCTATTCTCCATAGACCTACTCTGGGCTGTTCTGTGTGACTGTCAACCCCTACAAGTGGCTGCCAGTCTACGACAAGGAGGTGGTCAATGCCTATAGAGGAAAGAAGAGGAGTGAAGCTCCTCCTCACATCTTCTCCATCTCTGACAATGCTTATCAGTACATGCTAACTGGTAAGCCACATTTATCAAGCATGTCCAGTACTATTAAATTTGACTATACATCCTTATGAAATCCTCTCCTTTTCAGACAGAGAAAATCAGTCTATTCTCATCACGTAAGTCATGAGTCTCTTACTTTTCTATACTGCATTTAAGAATGGTGCGCTTCAAGTAAATATCCTGATATCCTCTGCCATTTGTCTTTGTTAGAATTAATTGAATAAATAGTATATATAATTTACTATGAGAGAGGGAGTTATTGCTTAAAATAATGGATGAAGATGTCATGACTGACTGAAGCCGTGTCCCTGATTCCCTTTGCTTCTTCAGTGGAGAATCTGGTGCTGGGAAAACAGTCAACACTAAGAGAGTCATCCAGTACTTTGCCAGCATTGCTGCTGGAGGTGGGAAAAAGGACACAGGATCTGAAAAAAAGGTTCAAATGCTTCATCCATTTGGAAGCTAACATATTTTTGCCCGTTTGCATATATTTTAACACACATTTTGCTTTCCATCTTTGACCAAAAGTATGACTGTACTTTGTCAGGGTACTCTGGAGGATCAAATCATCCAGTGTAACCCAGCTCTGGAGGCCTTTGGAAATGCAAAGACCATCAGGAATGACAACTCCTCCAGATTTGTGAGTTTATTTCTGTAATCAAACGACTTTTCTGTCTGTTCAGTATGACCAATATTTTCTTTTTTTTCCACCTGCAACACTTTTTAGGGTAAATTCATCCGCATTCATTTTGCAGCCAGTGGAAAGTTGGCTTCAGCTGATATTGAGACATGTGAGCAGCCACCGCTGTGTGCTTTCATTAGGATTGTTTTAACATTCAGATTGATCTGCTTGAACTGACAAAATGCAAATGTATTTCAGATCTGCTAGAGAAGTCCCGCGTGACATTTCAGCTGAAGGCTGAGAGAGATTATCACATCTTCTATCAGATTCTGTCTCAGAAGAAACCAGAGCTGTTAGGTGAATGGCTAAAAACAAACTTTAGATCAATAGCAACTAGTCATAATGTTGTTGCATTCACTGCTTATTATTTCAGCTGTTGCTAATAATTTAAACTCCTTCTGTGCTTCATTTTAGAGATGCTGCTCATCACCAACAACCCCTATGACTACGCTTTCATCTCCCAAGGAGAGACAACTGTAACCTCCATTAACGATGCAGATGAACTGATGGCCACTGATGTGAGCTGTGTGCAATCAATATAGTGAACAGTTATTTTAGATTTCAACATTATTAGATTAAAATGTCCAACAAGTTCTTTTGATAATTATTACTGGCAAGAGGTAAAAATCCTGACCTCAGTTGTAATCCAGCATTGGAACATGACTTGATATATTTTACATAGTCTGGATAAAATTGAGACAGAAAAACATTTTCATCTGAACGTGAACTGAGATTGGCATTTGTTAATAATATTTAGGAGGCCTTTGATGTTCTTGGTTTCACACAAGAAGAAAAGAACGGCATTTACAAGCTAACTGGTGCCATCATGCACTACGGTAACATGAAGTTTAAGCAGAAGCAGCGAGAGGAGCAGGCAGAGGCAGACGGCACTGAAGGTGAGATTATCATTAAAGAGCACAAAACATGAGTACAAATGGGTCATGACAAGGACCAAATATAGCCTTGATCCTTTTTTTTATTTTTTATTTTTTTAGCTCTAGTGGCCTTTAATGACAGTAGGTTGACAGGAAAGGGGGCCGAGATAGAGAGGGGGAGACCTGCGGGAAAGGGCCGTGGGCCGGATTCGAACCCACGGCCACCCACTTACGAGCACAGGCTCTGT